CAGCAGGAAAAACACAGTGTGCTGTTTTCCCAAGTTGCTGGGGAATTCCTCTACCCATACTCTGTCATTATGGAAATCCCTGTGAGTCGGTGTGGCAGAAGCCATACTTTGTGTCAGTTAGCATAAAACCGCCCAGACAGTTTATTCACAAAAGCTGATCCACATTTTCAAATTCACAACAGGTGTCTGTGCTGGGGAAACTGCTGTCTGATAAGTTGTCATCGGTAAGAGTAAATACCAAAGCGGCCAAATACCGTGGCCCTCAAAACTGTGAACAGATTTTCCTTTCCTGGTCAAGTGCAGCAGGCCAAAGCACAGTTCCCAGACAGCACTTGAGTGTGACTGATCTCATGTAGGCAGGTGAGGTGTTGTGCTGTCAGATCCTTCAGATCTTGTTTCTGCTTCACAGGAATAGTATAACTTTGTCCCCAGCCTTACTTCTGCTTTCTCCTGATGTGTGCTGGTCTCCCAAGCCTTCCCCTCCAACCTGGAAAATGCTGGTATGCAAATTAGGTGCCTATGGAGGAGGAGCTGCTATTTTGCAGCTTCTGGAGAACCCTGAAATCTTCCTTTGATTCTTCAGAACAAATGAAATGTAGATTGTTTCCTTGAAAAACAGGATCCACAGCTTTGGAAACAGCTCTTCATTCCTAGGTTCCTTTAAAGCAAAGGACATCAGACACCTAATAGGGTTAATCACACAAACCAAGAGCAAGTCTCAACCTGAAGGCAGTTCTGGGTCTTGTGCATCTGCATTAAGTGATGCAGAGTAATTCCTGCCTAAGCACTGTTTCCACACAGCTTTACAAGTCCCTGTAAAGCTACACCAGATCACTGCATCCCTGCAGCACCACCTAAGCTTGAAATCACGTGCTCAGCACTCACAGCAGATATCCCATGTTCAGCTCCACACGCTCTGGGATTCGGCTCACTACACTGTGGAATACCAACAAGCAAGCAGCTACCCCATTTCTCAGAGTTCCTTCTTTTGCATATTGGCCCTGTTGCTCTTACTGCAGCTGTTTTAACTGCAATATAAAGGAAAACAAAGGAATTATGGCCCAGTACTATAATTCTAACAGTGCATTATTTCCCTCTCAGGTACCTCTAAAAGCCAAGCAACAGAGGCATCCTGAGCAGAGAAGCCCAGCATGAAATTACGCACCACAGCTTCTCTGCATTCAGCTAATTAGCACAGACAGGTGGATGGGATGTCGTGGTAGCCTTGGGATAATAAGTGGTGGCAGTGAAAATGCAAGATATCACAGATTACTTAGTGAGGCCCCTGCACAACATCCTCTTGTCCAGAGAAGAACCTTACCTGGGCCACCCAGCAGCTTACTGCCACCACCCAGCCACCAGCCAGCCTGGCTGCCACTGCCTAAGGCCAACCTTCTGCTGGATTCCTTGCACTCATGGAGCACAACAGCAGGCAATGCTTTCCCTGATGTTTGCAGGGCAGCAGTACGGTGGCACAATTACACAGACTGGAGTTTTACTACTTGCAAAATGAATGCCAGATCTTCAAAATCACCTGAGAAATAAACTAACTAAAGCTATAGCAAAAGCAGCTGGAAGATCCATGTTATATTTTCATGACCACTGTCTGGAAAAGGTGCACACAGAGCTAATTTGGAAAGGATTCAATAAGTGAGGAGCAGCCCACAGGCAGGCAGGTATCACAGTGAACGCGGAGCGGCAGCAGACACCTGCCAGAAGCAGCTGCTGTCACAGAGCCCGGGTTTCCGGCACACTGCAGCTGAGGTACAGCTGTAGGACCACCATTTCCATTCATAAACTGCATTTGAAGGTTATCACGGGTTGATCTCATTCAAAGGAAATTCATAATATACGCCCATCACCTTGCACCACGGCGATCACTTATTGAGGCATCTCTTCTGCTGTTCAGCACAGGGAACGCCTCCCTGCTCCGGGTGGCACCCGTTTTCTGGAATCTCTTGCACACTGCCAAGTCCGATTGAACAGTTCTCATCTACAGGGCCAGGAGCTGGACTCGATGATCCTCATGGGTCCCTTCGAACTCGGCATCTTCTATGATTCTGTGTACAAACCCCTCCACTGATATTGCAACTACTTCACCTACAAAGGTCTTACACAAAAGATTTCTTTTTTACATAAGCACCTAATACTCGACAGCCAGCATTGCCATCTGTTTGTCCAAAATATGGAAGAAATTGTAAAGAGGTACAGGCAACTTGGTTTCAAGGGCATTTCCAGTTCCAGTTTCAAAGGTGAGTTACTACACTGGCGTGTTACTACCCTGCTCTACCAGTCCCTCCTGGAAATTTTTGGTGTTCCACCGAAAAAAGCTGTTCCAGCTAAATGTTCTGGGTAAGCTGTTCCTTTATTTCATGTTCCTGGTCCTTGTAGCCCTCCTCCTCCCTTGGCAGTATAGCTGTGGCAACAAAAGCCCTATAAAACAGGGCCAAGTACACCCACATGTGCACTCTCCTCTTCATAGAAACAGGTCTCCCTTTCTGTGACTGCAACATGCTGCCCTAGACCACAGGTTCTGGCAAATTCTTAACACGAACAGAGGTCCCCTCAATGTGCTGGTTATAGATGGAGAGCTGCAGAAGCAGTTTAAAACCTCCCTGCAGTATCAGGCTGGGTACTCCAGTGCTTTGCAGCTGACCTCCACATGCACAGTGTTCTCCAGTCTTGTTCTTTCAGATACCTTGGAACTGCCCAGTAAACTATGCCAGACAAAAACCCTATCGTTTTTTATGTGGAAATAAAATTATTATTATGTGGGGTATCAAAATAAAGAGACGTGGGGATGTGGGAAATCACAAATATTGTTTAAAGACACTTAATAATTGTTGCAAATAAGTGTTGCTCAAAGAGTGCCTCTGGGCATTTTTTACATTGAATTTAATAATGAAAAACATTAAAAAAAACCTGAAATGGTATCCTTTTGTTGTTAAAGATATAACACCTTCACTGTCTAACCTACCTCAGAGATTAGAAGATGGCATCTAAGTATTGCTTGGATATGACAGTTGAATCAAAACAGCTTCCAGCCATCTAATAACTTAATTTCCACTACAGGAGCTTTTCAGCCAGGAGATCTGGTGAAGGAAGCCATTGCTATCTATGTCTATAAATGAAATTTGACCTTTGATTGCCCAGTTAAACCTTTGCTCTTCTCACAGCCACATTTTTCTACTTAATATGAGTGAAGAGACAATAGATATTGGTGGGCTACAGGATGGTTAACAGGTGCCCTATGTCATGGCAGCCATTTATGTAGCTGGCCTCAACCTGCAAAAATCATTTTCACTTGGACTTAAATATAAATTCAGTCAAGTGATCAAATGGAGGAAGAGGAAAAAATGATTCGCTACATGAACACACTGGCTTGTTCCATCTCCTGACTGTCAAATCAAATACTTGCCAAGGGTGGTTTACTTGTTAGTATTCAGAACTGTACACACTGGGATGTTTTTTGTTGTTGTTAGAGATTTAGTGAAACTTTCACCGATACCAATGAACCAACAACAATTTCCCTTTGGCAATGCACAGTGAAATGCTACTTGCAACTGTAGTGGCATAATCCAATCCTCCCTCTTTTTTGGATCTTCCCTCCCCCCAGGTAAAATCCTGAGAACAACCCACAGCAGACATGACGAGACAGATACAGCGCATTGCTGAAACTCTGAATCACAGCCCGCCACTGAATCTACACCTATATTGCAGGCACAAGGTCTTGTGTTTGAAGAGAAACAAACACGAAGGATGTAGTTTCATGTTTCTCAAAGTTACAGCTTTTTTACTCCAATACCTGCTCAGGCAAAAAATTGTGAAAAATCTCTGTACTTTCGTTCAGTTCTGAAAACAGAAAATTGAACCTTTGATTTGTGACAGCACAAGCAAGATAAGAAAGGAAGAGAAACTTTTCAAGTTGTCCTCCAAACGTGTGATTTTCCTTGAGCTCTGTTGTACACATCCACTTACACATTTCCAAACGCATGCCGAGACAGTGGCTCAGCTCCACTGGTGCAGGTGATCTCACACACTTCAACACAGGGGGATCGTGCACAAGGAGGAAAAGCAGAACTCAGGGAGTGATGGAATCACAAACACACACAGCTGGCTACAAACATTCTGAATATAATTAAGCTTTGAGACATTAGGCCTGCCAACATGTTAATAACTGTGAAAAAAACCTGTGGGTGATTTTCATACTTATCAAAATAAGGAACTGTTGAGAACCATTAATAATGTGGGTAAATGCTGCCTAAGCTTCCCACACTCAACTCTGCCAGTAAGCTTTAATTTTCAACTCCAACAATCCTGCTATTCCAGTCTGGAACTCCTCCAGAGCAGAGACACTTCATCAAGTTACATTGTGAACTTGCTCTGCAACATGTTAAACATAAAAAAAGATCAATACGGAACAATTTTTATCTGCTACGCTTGCCTGGACCAGGATGTTCAGCAGTTTAAGATGAACCCACATTACACCTTAGTGTAAAAGATAATTCCAAAGCCAAAGTTAACATTTGCACAGACAAGCAGAGAGAGAGAGCATATAAGGAAGCTTGAGCAGCTGTGGTATAATAATGATTGCTATGAACAGTGAGAGACCCTCTGCTTGAGACAGAGCAGATTGATTTTGATTTATTATTATTTATTATCTATTATTTAGCAATTGTTTGAATTGATTACTCTTGAAACACTTCACAGACACAAAGGATTAAAGAAACAGGGAGAGAAGCAACTTCTGCATCACACTGACAGAAGAGCTCATCTGTGTCTCTTAAAGGTTGTTGTTCCTGTAATTAAAAGCAACACTTTCTCTCTCAAATAACATAGCCTTTTTCGAAAGGAGATAGATTGCATTATTTAAGTAAATAATTGACAAAAAATTTCTGCAAATAATGTCTCATTTGAGACACTGCCTATTCCAAGTATTTACCTTAAAGGAATCCTCCGAACTTCAATATATACAGGTTTGTACAAAGTGTTTTACTGACCTTCAAAGTCCACATCCCCAACTAATTTGGTTTTTCCTGTAAGAGGATCATGGATATGGTTGATGCCTACATCAATCACAGCTGCACCTTCTTTGACCATATCAGTAGTAATCAGCTTTGGGACACCTGGAATCAGCAACAACATATTGGATTAACATGGCCACGTAGTCTTAGGTCATCAGTTCTGAATGATATGAAGGGGTGTGCATGCACAGGTATGAATGCACATAACAGAACACAATTCTTTCACTTCAATGTTGCTTGATAAGTCCCACACTGAAAACAATTGTTCCTCAACTGCACAGTTTGTAACTGCTACAACTACAGAAAAAGAGAAAAAGACTTACAAAAAACCCCTCACCAAAGCTGTGCCATGGAATTGGTTTTGGTTCAGGAAACACACTGGACTAATAAGCAATTTTAACTGCTTTGGCAATCCCAGCACATGACTCTGACCTTCCAGAGGGGAGCTCCTACAACACACCATGGCCTGTGATTTACAGCAATTCAGGAGACCCCTCCACACTTGACCAGAGAGGCCCGGCCTTGGCATTGCTCACCTTCGTCACCTTCCAGTGGGCAACAGCTCTGTAGTGTCCGGGGTGGGATCCACCTTCCTTCTTGAACCATTCCCTCACTTCTGTCTTCCCAGAGCAAGGTTTATCCCAGTAATACAGTAGCTCCACAAAGGGCACCTATACTCCCCTCTCCCCACCAAAGCACTTTTCTCTCAGGTGGAGCAAAGACAAAAAGGAAAAGAAACCAAATCCATCTGGTTGGAAACTGCACTTTTACTGGGGGCAAGCACTGGCATACGAGGTTTTGGCTTCCTGGGAAGTGCTGGAGCACAGCCAGACATTTGGATACAGGCAATACAAGAACCTTCCTTGCTCTCCATTTCTCACTCCCCCATAGGACACCAGCTTCAAACTCTGCTTCGCACATTGAGCAAGCCAAGACTTTAAATTCTTTCCCATCCCACTCGATAACATCTGGCTGCGTCTCCTTCATCCCGCTCTGATGCAATCCATGGCAAGCCGGCTGGTAGCTGGATAATGCCTCAGCCTCATGGGGGTAAATGATGTGTGTCTGATAGGGCTGGAAGCACATTAACGGAAGCTGCACAGTTACACCCTTTGTAAAATGGTTTGATAATAGGCCAAATACTTAAGAGCAACAAATCAACTAACCCCCAAACCAAATGAGCAGATCTATTTACTTAAGCCTGCTTTACATACCAAGTGGGAAGAGATAAGCGTTAGAGCAGCTATTCCTAAAAGGCACTGACTGAAGAATGTGGGAAAACCTTCACCTGGTAATTTTTGTAGGAAATGATGAATCACATTTTAAACAAAGGAGAAAAAAGCCCTACCTAATCCCAGCTTAGGTGCAAGGACGGTGAAACAGCCAATTTCTGATGCAGTTGACCTGACACTACCTGAACAAAGGGGCTGATCAACCGGCATTTCCTACACAAGAGGACCACAGATCACATCCCAAGGGACGGCACAGGTAGTCCCAGAACAATTTCATCTGGCATTTGGCACACTCGTTCCTTTTCCTCTTTACCCTCTCCAAACCTAGCAGGCAGGTGAGTCTTCTCTCTCAGCAGACCGGAAAGCCAAGAGAGCAGGAGCAGCACGTTGACTAGTACAAGAGTCCTGCTGCCTCCATCACTGCCCTGCAAGTCCTGTGCTGGTTCTACGAGCACCACAGGTAAAGCTGCACTTATCCTTCTACTCCGGGTCTGGGCCAATGGCAAAAAGAACAGACTCGGGGGGATGTCTGCATAGGCAGGGATAAAGGGACAAGATGGGAAAGGCTCTGGAGGGATACAAAGTGTCAGGTGTGCTTCACAGGAAATAGGATGCTTTGGCAAGGAATCCAAAAGCTGGTGGTACTGAAAGAGATTTCAGGGAGGGGTAGGCTGGACAAGGGCAGCATTGTTGGAACTTATGATGCAAGGATTTGGGAGGGAACAAGAGGGAAGGAATAAACTGCATGGATAGTTACAATCCAAGTAAGCAGAAAAACAGGGGCCCCAAGTCTGGGGGAGAATAAAAAGCACCTGATCTGAGCTATTACCACAGCCAGGGATGCAAGGGAACAGAAAAGCACTCAGAGCTGGAGTACCACACGAAACAGGCTCACTGCAACAAGTCACCAACCAGGAGCCAGGATGCAGACAGCTCTTTAAAAGTACTACATGGGAATGGGAGAAAGAGTGAGAACAGCAACCTTGGTCCTGCACACAGACACACACAAAAAGCTCTTTTCCATTTCCACATCTTGCACAGCAGCCTGTACCAGCAGCTGCTCCAACCTGGCAGGGTACAAGTCACCTGTCCTACAACACTCACGGAGCAGGTCACGCATTTCCGGGAGCGTGTGATCCCAGTGGTACAATGGGCACAGTTCTCACGCAACAAAGGAAGCCTGGAGGGATTCCACCATTCTAAAGTAGAACCTTGCCCAGAGCACCCACTGGGGCAGGGCTGCACGCTGCTTGCACAACCAAGCCCTAGCGTTTTTTCATCATTCCCAGTATATCTCAAGTTGTGCAATGAGTGCTGTATCACACTCCTGTTACAAATGACACAAGGAAAATAATGGGAAGTGCCAACATGGCTGAATTGCTACTGGGTCATTTAACTCCAAGCAGAACTGATGACAAACCACTGTTAGAATCTGAAGGGACAATGGACTTGGGAGCAGGGAATTTGGATGAGAAGTTACTGGTTCATTTCCAGGTAGCGCACGCACCGTTATCTTTCATTCAGTGGGGAATTCTGGTCAGGCCCACAGTTGGGTAAATAGATGTGGGACAAACAAGCTGGTTTTTGCTCCTGAGCTGCCACTGGAAGGTAACACAGAAGTTAAGCCCTGAAGCCAAGGGCATCTCACTTCAACAGGAAGTGACAAGCTTTAGACAGGTACCTCTCTGTCTCCACCTAGAAAACAAGGAAGCACGATTTGGGCCTCGAGGATGAGGAGGAGGGAGAAAGGGAGCAGAAAAGGGGAAAGACACAATCCTCCTGTACTGCTTCAAAATGGTACAAGAGAAGGATGATATCCTGAGCTGCAAGGGACACACAGTTTGACCAACATTTTAGGAAGTTGCATTATTTGTTTGTTTTAAATTATGGGGGGTTTCCTATTTATAATACCCGTAAACAAAAAACAGAGCTCTCTTAGCAGCAGTTGTGCTTGTTTCTTTGGGATAAACGAGTCAAACTCTAAGTATTTCACTCTACATTGCTTTATGAGTAGAGACACTGATTTTTCAGACCCCTGCCTCCAGGCCATTACCATTCTCTTCCCCTCTACATGATAATTGGAAAAGGAAAAAAACCCAGCCATAATAACGTAGGTTACCAAAACCTTCAGTTAACTTACCAGGGTTGCCCTCAGTATTAACAGCAGGGGAATGATACCACGGGGTTATGAAGGCAGCCTCCAGCTGATTTAAAGAAACCCTCCTGTCAGAATTTAAATGACTCATGACTTTTGCACGACACAGAGGATGTTTTAATTTACGTAATTATACCCGTATAAACTATGCACTGACTGGTTCCCAATCCTGAGTTCACTCTGAAGTCTCCCTAAGGCAAAGGTGTCACATGTGACGAGAAACAGTTTATGAGTCTGCAAATGTGAAGGGCAAGAACAAAGAGCCACATCACTCGCCCTTCCTACTGCAGAAATCCTCCCTGCTGCAACACCCTCGGCAAGCGCGAGCACACCTTGCTCAGTGGAACCTGGAGCAGCCACTGCCACAGACTCAGAGTCCTCCTTTTTGCTTGGAAATGCTGCAATTGGAGGATTAACGACAACGAGCATTACCTGCAGCTACTATTACTATGTCAGCGAGCTGCGTATGGATCTTGAGCTGCTCTTTTGGGGTGTATCTGTGAGTAATGGTCACTGTGGCATCACCTGAAATGGAACACATTAGCAATTAATTGCCACATATGAAATGCTATAAAAACTACAGCATTTACTTTCAGGTGCAAATTACTTACTTTGGTACATTAACAACAGAACAGGTGATCATCGGATTTGTCTTGGGATGGAACATTTCAATGAGCACAGGCAGAACACTCACAACACTCGCGGTTCACATATATGAAGAAACATTTGCTCTTAGAAATTCTCACAGGATGTATTAGTTTATACACTGTAGACTAAATTATTCCTTCTGCAGCTTTGTTAGGTTCAGTGGAATTACAGAAAGGAAACCCAGCATGGAATCCACCGTCTGCTTTATCAAGCCCAATTTGTACAGGGTGCCACAAGACTCAGTTGTTTGTCAGAAACTAAAGCTTCAAACACAAGATCACCAGTACAAGCAGGAGAAGCACATGTCCTTCGGGGCAAACTCAAAACACCTGGGGCCTGCTCCTGCACACACCCACAGTTCTAGGCAAGAGCTACAAATAAACCCCTGTGCTGTTCAGTGGAGATCCCAAGGCCACAACACACAAAATGAACTGTCATGGGGAGAGGGTCTGAAGTCTCCTACCGCATCCAACATCAAGTGTGGTGATCCCTTAAGGATTGCCCAAGCAAGCAGCCAAGATAAGAGCTCTCAAAGGAGATCCCCCCAACCCTCTTCCTGTCAACTATTTGTACTGCAGTGTTCAGACGTTACATCCCTCCATCTCTGCCTTCCACTCACCACAGACTCCTAAGCCACATCATTAACCATTAAACTAAAATTTTTGGTCATCTCAGATATTACCATCACATCTCCTTCCTTTGGAATGTGTCTGACTGAACTAATCTGTGCCTCTCATTAACTCTCTTCCTCAAGCATTTCCTCTTCAACATCTCTGTGCTCTGAATTCTCTGCTCTTTCCCCTCATCTTTAATCCCTCCTCCTTAGTCTCTATAGTCTCCATCATCTCCTTAAAGGGAGGCAGATCAAGACATTTGCAGATAATGAGAACAGAAAAGTACAGGCTTGAAACAGGAGTCTTCTGATACCTGCTTTAAACAAAAGAAGTATGTCTTCCCCAAAATCACAATCATAACTCAGCATAGACAGTGAGAAAAACAAAAGGATAAAACCCAAAGTTACAAAGTTACCTCTGAGTCATAAAATCAGTGCTAATTTGCCACCAAGATTTTAGTGACAGATGTGTCTGTTGTCAGCTCCTGAAACCAAGTAATTGCTCTCATTACCAAAAAGGAAATGAGACAGAAGGGGGGGAAGCCCCTGCCTTGAGAACAGCAGTCCAGAAGCTTACAGACACCTCAGAAAGGGGAGGGTTTCCATTTATTTGTGATCATGCCAAAATAAAAAATAAACTATTCTTACACTGTTACTTCTGCTGAAAGAAGAGGAGTATATTTAGCAATTAAGATTCCACATCGTACTCCCTTGACCTGCCTACACAGATCATGATTTGTTTTGGAAGGGTTCAGACAGCTCTTCCATCTGATCAGATATTGCCACCTGCAGGATATGACTGTTCCTACATACAAAACATCCCAAATGAAGACATGCCCCACCTTTTCAGTTTTGTTCATGATCTGTTAAAAAAACAACCAAAACCTACAACAGAAAGGAAGAAAAAAGTACTATCCTACACACCCCTTGCATCACTTCTCAATCAAAAACATTTCATCAAACCAGCCCAAGTGCTGATAAAAACCTACCCTGACTGACAGCCTGAGAAAGTTCCTTTTCAGCACTTTGGTTTAGGTCTTGTCTGGTCCCATCCTCCTGAGTTAAAAAAAAAGCTAAAGCCTAACCCTGGCCTGCCTTGCCTTCCACACACCACCCAGGCTGGTTCTTGCTGTTCACAGCAGCAGCAGAGCCGAAAACCACCTGCAGGAGATGAACCAGATCTCCAAGGACAGCCCCATCTACGAGTCACCAATGAAAACTCCACCGGATTACAACTATAAAACTATTTATCGCCACCTACACAACATATACCCACACTTAATGCTGGTTTATTGTCTAAGAAGTACACTTGTTCCTTAGTTTTCTCACTGTACCACCACAGGATAGGAGGTGGGAAAACTAGAACGCTGCCAGTAAGACTCATCACCCAGGATTCGCAGCAAAGGGCAAAAATGGGACTCATTTTCATGGGAATGGGGATGAGACCAGAACTATGCACCGATGGTAATTACAACTCCAACACTGAGAGAAGTTTCAAATAGCAACTTTCCCACAGAGGCTGAATGGAAAAACCAACTCCATGATTACTGCAAAGCTTTTAGAGTTTTATTATATTAATAACAGATTTCACTCCCCTCCTATTAAATGGGCCTGGGATTAAACGTTCACGTTACCTCACCTGTGCATACCATGGTGGCACTTTCCAACACCACAATGAAGCTGCAAAAGGGCAGCACTCCATTTAATTTATACTTGTTTCTCTTCCTACAGCACAATTATAGCAGCACATGCAGGCTTCTGTAATTAGAATTGCTTAAAAATATTTCCACTACAACCCCCGGGTTCCAGGGGGATATAAACTGCCCTGCAGAAACAGCCCCCAGGCCAACGTGGGTAATATCCCAGAACTCACGCTGAAACAAGTTACTTGGTTGGGCATTTGGGCATTTTCATAAACACCAATTAACTGACACAGCACAACAGAAATGATGGAATCTTTATTTTACATGGACAGACAAAAGCGTAGGTGGAATTCTGTGTATGTGTGTGCTCAGGTGGGCACGAAAACAAAGTGGTTACCAAATAAGCAGGAGGGGAAGGCACAGAGCTGCACGGATTTGTACAACCCTCACACAAACTCTGCAGCTCTTTAAGGCCACACTGTCACTGTTCTCCTCCACATTCAGTGCTGACAGCGGGGAAACAGCAGCTCTCTCAAAGGGAGGACAGCGGGGTGATGTAAGACCAGAAAAAGTCGACTCCAGAAACTACTCACCTGAGAAGATGCCAGGAAACAGATGAGCAAATTTATTTCCCTGCTCCCCTTAGAGCTGTTGACAAAAGTGAAAAGCTTTCTCTTTTAGTTGAATCCGCTGCTCAGCTTCACTCTCAGGATTTCACAAAGGGAAACATTCAAACAACATCCCTGGACTTACCTCCAGGCCTTTCGTGCTCTCCATCAGTATGTAACAGCATTGAGATAGGCATTCCAACATTCTTGGATCTTCCAGCTACAACAACATTTTTTCCAAATGTGGGTATTCCTTAGAGAAAAAAAATTAAAAAATTCTATTTCACTATTTTGATACACCTAAACCCTTCTTCTCACTCCCCAAGATTGAATTATCTCTTACTGTGGACTGCTGACATCAACCTGACGTGAAAATCCACACGGCTGAATTTGAGGGAGGAATCCACAAAACAACTTTCAGCTTTCCCCTGGCAGAAAGAAAACTGGCAACTCATTCAGGTGATCTGAACCACCCTCAGCAGGAACTTCATTTCCCTTCTCTGACCACAAAGGGGAACTGAAGCTCTAATGGCTACCAGTCAGAACACACACATTCTAAGGAGAAAATGTACACTAGTGAACACCTGGGCACTCTTTTCCCCTGAAAAAGGGAAATTAACTGCTCCCATTCTTCATCTTGCTTCTTCCCTTTCACTTACAGGAACTTAGGCATACAAACCTTCTATTTCACAAATAATCAGGAGGTACACAATAGCACAGAAAGCTCCCCGCAACACTGCAAAAGGCAGAGAGTTACCAAAGTGTTCCACCAAGTACTACTCTCTTCACTTAATTAACAGTTATGCTACTGGCACAAGATCTCATCTATTTGGCACCTCCTTATTATTCACATTAGTCCTCTAACTGTTGGTTCTTCACTCAGCCCAATACACTGAGATAACCTTTAACTCACACCTCACTTAACCCTTTGCTCCTCTCCCCAGATGAAAAGGGTTTCAGGACAGCTGAGCTTCTTACCTGTCCGTTTTATGATTTCCCACACGGCAGCAGCAGTGGCAGGAATTATGGAAGGCTGATCGAGACACAGACGTCCAATATTCATGATATGGAATCCATCCACATCCTTCTCCGGGGCGATGGCGTTGCAAACTCTCCGTTCATCTATGTGATCTGGGAGACACAATGCTCCCAAATTACAGTTCTGGCACTTGGATGGAGTCACCAACATGTCTGAATCATTACAGAGAAACACACACACTTGGACTAACGAGGGTAATTATTGTTCTTCACTGGGAATAGACTACACTGTGCCTCTAAAGGCAGCAGTTACTTTTCAAGTAATCTACTCAAAAGTACACTATGCCATTTGTCACAGTGCTAATCAGCAGATTCTGTCAAAATATGAGAGGCCAATACTCAGCTGAGAATGATGACAGTAACCATAAAAAGACAGGTTTAAGCAAGTCACTTCAGAGTCATTCTGCATTCTGGAAGTGGCTCAAAAAAGCCATTGTCCATGGTACGTGTAAGATCACAAGGGATAATGATCTAAGTATTAAACAAATACATGGAAACCCTAAGCTGAAGTAACTTTGCAGGTCAAGCTCTCATTTTCCAGCAATACAACCACTTTTATTCATCTGGTAATGAGTAGGACCAAAACATATCCCACCTCATTGCAAAGCTGACAGTACACAAAACTGATACCGATGAGCTCAAAACACTGTCTATGGCTTAAACAACGTTGTCTGCACATATATTGTCGATATCTATTCCTAAGGAACATTTTTCATATGCACTAAAGATATGGGAGAGGTCTGCAACTGCTTAAAGCTTATACTGCATAAACATTAGGACTGATTATGAAAAAATGTTTGCCAGTCCTCTCTCTGCACAGTTACAAACCCAAGTCTAAAGCTGGCCCAAAGAACAACACGCCAAAGGAACAGCTCCATAAAACATCCCCTACTGATCCAGAAAGCAAACTGTTTAATAAATGTATTTACACAGTGGTACCTCAGTCACAATTCCAGAATCAGAATAGTTTGGGTCAGAAGGGACCTTTAAAGGGCATCTACTTCCAACCTCCCTGCAATGACAAGGGACATTATAATCTATTGCTTCACTGTTTAATAACATGTCAAACTGCTTCCAGGATTGCACTTCCAGCTTTATTTCTGCACAACACCCAAGGAAGGGTTGACTGGCTCAAAACAACCAGCTGGGAAGTGTGTTTGGGGGAACAGGTTGAGCTCTGTACAGGTGGGACGGCCACTGCTCTGCCCTGCCCTCCGTGAGCCTCAGTCAGCCTCTGGTCCGGTCCAGAATGGCAGAGACTGACCCAGGGGCTGAACCAAAATGGCGGGGAGTGACCCAGGGGCTGCCCCAAAATGGCGGGGAGTGACCCAGGGGCTGCCCCAAAATGGCGGAGACTGATCCAGGGGCTGACCCAAAATGGCGGGGACTGACCCAGGGGCTGCCCCAAAATGGCGGGGACTGACCCAGGGGCTGCCCCAAAATGGCGGGGACTGACCCAGGGGCTGCCCCAAAATGGCGGGGACTGACCCAGGGGCTGACCCAAAATGGCGGGGACTGACCCAGGGGCTGACCCAAAATGGCAGGGACTGACCCAAGGCTGCCCCAAAATGGCGGGGACTGACCCAGGGCCTCGAGAGCCACACAACACCAGGGACTGACTCCTTGGGCCCCACAGGGAACACGGAAGCACAGCTGTGCCTGGGGGAGGCCCCAGCTGAGGGGAGCAGACAAAAGGACAGTGACACGCTGCTCTCAAGGGGCTGCTCTGCTCCATTTCCATCTCAGAAGGATTATTTTTTGCATCTTTTACATAACCACACGTCACCCATTCCGGGCCAGATCCCAACATAACCCTGCAGCTGCGAGGCCATATATCCCACTGTCCCACTCAGAGAGCATAAGGGATGGTTCAAAAGGTCAAATAAAGGCACAGGAGAGTTAATAAGGAAATTCAGACACTGCCAGTAACAACAGTTGAGGGACATAAACACCATGTTTGCATTTAGTTGGTATTTTGTGGTTTTGCATTAAAAGGAGATAACTAATTAAAAGATATCAAGCATGTTATAGAACTTACACACTGTAAACTCCTGTTAGATGATTTTCAATTAAAAAAACCCTGGGGTTACACTCTGACTGCTCTGATTTACAACTTAATTCTCCATTTTCTGATGAGAGGGAGTTTCCTTCTGATTCCTAATGAGAAAGGGTTGTGGAAATTGAGATATTAAGTACACCGATGAAAGAGTCTCCTAGAAGTGAACTCTCCTCAGAGACTGAAAGCAACCGTAACCTTGTTTTTATGCCAACCTGGGGAATAAAAAAAACAAAGAAGAAGGAAATGTGGAGCAACTTATGAAATGGTTTTTGCAAAAGCGAACTTGCTAACCTTAGGCAAGTCAGGTGTTCATGCAACACAAACCTGGTAGCTTTTGCCTGTGATGGGGGAGAACCCTGCTCTGACAGACACCTTGCCCCTGTTTGTCTTTAGCTTCCCAGGAATAGACAGGTAATAGGCACAATCATGTCAAAGGGAAAGAAATCATGCTTTACATGGATCGTCTTCCCCACTCAAAACTGGTTTGCACAATTTCAGAAGAGGGCACAGAGGACCTGGAAGAAATGCAGCTGCAGAGCTGGGGACAAGTGGGCTGACGTGGGCCTGAGAAGACAAGATGGGGACACTTCCCAAATTCTGTTGTGGCTGGGCCATCCCCAAACAAACAAACCAACCAACCCAACTCACACTGTAGAGACACTTCTGTGTTATTTAATGGGCAGGCTTTTTTCACCTAAAGAAATGCCCGGTCCTGGTTTGTTTCCACGTGCCTGCACACAGGCACTCTGTTTATTTCCAGGGGAACACAGTAATTCCTTAATTACCTTATTGTCAGGCTCCTGAAACAGCAGCTGAGATCTATACAAATTTCCTCACTGCCACTCCAAGCCACTCTCCAGGCCAAGTTCCTCCCTGCACTAACCCTCTCCCCTGGGAGCTAAACCTGCAGGGCTACACTGGGCATCCCTTGCCCAGCTACTCCAACTTGCATACAGAGAAACTCCTATTTACACAACAAACAACATCTGCCTCTAGTGTTGGCACAGGGAAAATAAACACTAGCTTGCAAAGGGGAAGACTGATGAAAACAAAAGCATAGCAGAAAAGGACTGGAAAAAATACCAGATGGGTTTTCATCTTCTCTCGCAAATACATAACATAATACAAAATTGCCACCTACTAGGCAATTCCAAATAAAATACAGGAAAGTTTCCAGAAAACCAGTACCACATCACAGGAAATGCACTCAAAACATGCACAGAAAGGAAATTCTCCTCAGGTAAGGATCACAATCCTCACATTTAAGTTGGCAATCTCACAAATTGCAAGAGAACAAAGCTATTTCTGATTCTGTTTTTATCCCAATGTGGATCAAAAGCCACACATCATGTGGTTTACTGAAAAAAACCCCAAAACTAACCCAACAAAATCAACTCTGAAGGAAGCACATCAGCCACCTTTTGCTACAGCCTCCAGACACAAAGTTTTGCACCCGTGGGCTCTCAGCACTCCATCTTTTGCAGCAGCTCTCACTGCTGGAATGAATGTCTGTGACATTACCTGTTCACTCTGACCCGCTCTTAGTGGCAGAGATGTTTGTTCAAAGGAAAACCACCACTTTCCAGCAGATCCTTACTTGGGCTCCAAGAGCTGCCTCCTTACCTGTGTTGTACTTCCACCTGGTGGCAAATTTATTGCAGCACGTGGCCGGGTTCAGGCAGCTCTCCTGGCAGACCAAGAGCAAACCCCCCTCACCAGGAGCGCTGCTCTTGACTGCAAAGACAAGCAAAGCACTTCTTCCTCTACGACTCTCAGCACCTGCCCCACTTTTGCTCTTTCCCAGATGGAAAATGGGTTTAGTTTAGTTCAGGGCTTTTTTTACAACTTTCATCACTGTAAAATTACCACTTGGCCAGCTACTCCCAAGTGATATTTCAGTGAGATTATACTACAAACCAGGAGAAGGCAAATTAAAAAACCAAGATTTCAGTCAAGGCTTTTAGGACTTCTGCACAAACCTCACTTGGACCACTAGGGAAACAGCACAGAAAACAGGAATAAATACTGAAGGCAAAACCTCCAATCGCTGTGAGAAAGGCTGTGGCATCATCTCCTGCATAGCATAACTCAGCATCATCTAAGGGATGAAAGCATGGAGCTAAGGCAAAACACTGCAACAGGCTGAAAAATAAAGATCATTCAACTGGATAAATTAGGAGTGGAGGGAAATGCCTTGAAACACCACCCTGACTGATCAAAAAAAAAGGCGAATTTGACATAGGAAATGATTCTCACAATTTGGTTTTTCGTTTATAATGAACAGCAGGTGGAACAAAAAAATTACATCTCACCCAATCCTTCACTATGCATGTCCTCTCAACAGCTTCTCATGTCCCCAGGCAGCCCAAAAGCCTCACACTCTTTCCTCTCACACAGACTGTAGAGGAGAAATGGGACAAAAGGTGTCACCCACCTGGCAGAGGAAGCTGAACTAACAAACCACTGACTCTCGAGTCCTTGTTGAGTTGCACTGTCAGATCTAAGAGCTCTTCCTCAGAAATGTCTTTAGGCCTCACAATGATCTCACTAGAAATGCCTGGTAAAAACAAAAAACAGGAGACACGTTAGCATCGGGAAACGAATCTATGGGCAGCTTGGTCATTTAGTCCAAAGACGTGTCTGAGGCTGAAAAACTCTTTCCTAACAACATTTCAATACAGAAGGAAACGTAGGGCTCCCACTCAAGTGACATTACAACTACTTTCTTCCTATGTCCATGCAATTTCTTTTCTTTCGGTTCAGCAGAGGAGATGAGGAAGAAAATGGTGCAAGACTGAATTAAGACAAAACAGGGGATTCCTCCTGCTTTATTTTTTTATTTTTAAGTAACAGTATCTTGTGCTTACCAAAGGATCACTTTTATGACATACCCACAGCTGCAGCTGCTTTTATCTTGTTCCTGACATAGATATGACTGGCTGGATTGTCTCCTACCAATACGACAGTGAGATGAGGTCTCTTGTTCCCAACGGATATCCACGATTCTACATCCCTTTGAACTTCTTGCAACACTTGGTTGGCAAGCTTTGTCCCGGAGATAACTGTTGCTTCATCACTACAAAGACAAAAAGAAACACAATATTTAGGTCTGACATTTCACCAGGAAGACACTTTGAAGTGTGGGATCTACCATGCTAACCACTGCAAAACGTTTTGATTCATTTGCTAGTATTTCATTTGAAAAACACGCTACAAACCCACAGGAAAAGAAGTGTTTCCCCACTCTAATTTGAAGAGCATTAATATGCCATCATTGCACATGGAAAAGGAGCTCACCAGCCACAAAAGTGGGGAAAAAGAAGGGTTTTGGTTCATCAGCTCTTAACAAAACACCATCAATGATAACTTGATCTTACTTATTACAAATTCAGTCTCCGTAGGCTTCCCTCTCTGAGACGGAGAATTTAACATGTAGACACATCAACACTGTAACCCCTGCCTTGAACTGAAAATATTAATTAAAAAAGACTACTCTTTGTAACTGACAGTGTAGCAAAGAGTCCAGAGGAGTTATAATGAAAAGGTGTCATGATAACTAAAAAAAAAAAAATAAATCCCAGTGCCTGGTTAAAAAACCACCAAAACTGAACAAACAAAAACAAGCGAATCATACAAGCAAAAAGCCAAAAAGCACACACACTCTGCTAAGAACAGTTTATCCAATTGGTTATCAGGAAAACAAAGTATTAGAAACACACTTAGCACAAAAAAAGAAAGCACAAACACCTTGCTTCATTCCATTTTACACCCAAACACCAGTTTCTGTACTGTTTCACTTACAGAAAAAATAATGTAGGCAACAGGTCGGTTTCATTCTTTTCCTGTGTGGCCTGTTCTGCATGTGCTCATTCTCAGAGATGCCTCTCTCTCTTCTTCATTATTTATGTTTCAGCTCTACATGCCCTGAGCACAAGACACTCCTTCCCAGGTACTCATTATCCCAGACAAATAATTAATGCCCACCCGTGCAGCAATGCCTTCCCCATTTCACTAGACAAGGATTTTACAACAGTTGGTGCCAAAAGTGTGCTCAATCCATAGGAATGACTATCCTGTTCCTATGCCACTTGCACTATAAATGCATTGTCTAATGACAACTTCTCCCAGCCTCTAAGCAAACCACCCTCAGTGCACACTCTTCCTCAAAACCTGGCCTCAGCCTCATTAAGCTCTCAAGGGCTCTCCTCACTGAAACCTCACCCTTCTCACCTCAGCACCTTCAGTCTTCTCAGTCATCCAAGGATCAAAGGCAAAGCAAGTGAACACATCAACAGTGCTAAAAAGGCACAAATCTAGAAGGAAAAAACACCCTGAAACACACAAAACTAGGAGAAAACACATGCAATGCATCCTGCCCAGGAGATGCTGGGATAAGGCTCTTCAACACCTGCATCTCTCCAAGGACAACAGGGAGTTGTACAAACCTCAGAAAAAGGCAATTTTAGAAGGAAAAGACTTGGCTGGAAACAAAATGTTTCAAGACAAAACTGGTCTGACAAATTAACACTCTGGGACAGCCCAGACAGAGAAGAGGAAAATTATTTCACATTACTTCACATAGGCAGAAAAAACAAGGACAATTATATCTTAGCAAAAAGTTCCCTCCTTAGTAATGTCCCAAACTGCTTTCAGGATTGCACTTCCAGCTTTATTTCTGCACAACACCCAAGGAAGGGTTGACTGGCTCAAAACAACCAGCTGGGAAGTGTGTTTGGGGGAACAGGTTGAGCTCTGTACAGGTGGGACGGCCACTGCTCTGCCCTGCCCTCCGTGAGCCTCAGTCAGCCTCTGGTCCGGTCCAGAATGGCAGAGACTGACCCAGGGGCTGCCCCAAAATGGCGGGGACTGATCCAGGGGCTGACCCAAAATGGCGGGGACTGATCCAGGGGCTGCCCCAAAATGGCGGGGACTGACCCAGGGGCTGCCCCAAAATGGCGGAGATTGACCCAGGGGCTGCCCCAAAATGGCGGGGACTGACCCAAGGCTGCCCCAAAATGGCGGGGACCAACCCAGGGGCTGCCCCAAAATGGCGGGGACCGACCCAGGGGCTGCCCCAAAATGGCGGAGATTGACCCAGGGGCTGCCCCAAAATGGCGGGGACTGACCCAGGGGCTGACCCAAATTGGCAGAGATTGACCCAGGGGCTGCCCCAAAATGGCGGGGACTGACCCAGGGGCTGACCCAAAATGGCGGGGACTGACCCAGGGGCTGCCCCAAAATGGCGGGGACTGACCCAGGGCCTCGAGAGCCCCCACTATGGCAGGGACTGACTCCTTGGGCCCCACAGGGAACACGGAAGCACAGTTGTGCCTGGGGGAGGCCCCAGCCGAGGGGAGCAGGGGTGACGGGGGTGTCAAGGGGCTGCTCTGCTCCATTTCCATCTCAGGATTATTTTTTGCAGCGATACAGAAGTCCATATAAGACAAAAAATTATTTCACATTCGTTCAAACAGGCAGAAGAAAACAAGGACAACTGTACCTTAGCAAGAACTTATAGAATGGCCCTACTTCACAAGAACAGACCTCTCCTGCATTCCACCAGCTACATGGATACTCTGAAGTTAGAAAAGATATCAATGCAAACAGTAGCTCTGTTTTTCCTATTTCATATCTACTGGGAAGGGAGAGGGGAAATAGCATTTTTCACAGATGCCAAATATAAAAATATTAAGTACTTAATACCAAAATATGTTGGTGCTTCTCAGGTTTAGAATCCAGATAGTCGATGTCCTTCGATGGAATTATTACACAAGAACTACTTGAACAAGGAAAGCTTCAGCTGTACAGAAAGGTTACATTGCAAGAGCTATTCAAAACACTGAAATTACGAAGTGAATTCTTACTATTCTTATTTTAAACATTAGCCACATGAAAACCTTGACCAGGTGTTGGTCAGTGACATTTATGACAGATGTAATGACCAGGTTAAATGACAGATTTCATACGTGCTACTATGCCACCCCGTCCCAGTGGTCTCCTAGAGCATGGAGGCTCTTATTCTGAACTCAGTAAAATGTGACTTTACAACAGGAAGTTCACTTACTGAATTCTTCTTGTGAATGAATCCAGTCACTTGCAGGGCACGACAGAAACAAAGACCTCAGTTGCTGTTCCAGATCAACCCATACACTAAAAGCCCAAGATCATATGGAGCATCACAACAGGATTCTCCACGTCCCATACATACCACACAAACACCTCTGGAAAATCATTAGGGCAGGAACATCTCCCTTTTGCACAACTGGAAAAAACAGTTACCAGCAGCACAGAACACAAGCAGGATATGCAGTGGTCTGGGAAGACACCTGCTTGAGCCAAAACTGGCAGAATCAGTTCTCCATATACAGAACAGCAGAGACTTATTTCAATGACTGTTCAGCTTCCTCATCTTTTCACCTTTGAAAACACAGAGCAAAGACAATGCTTTCAGCACAGGCGCTTGGGTTCTGCTGGACTGAGCCAACTTTCAGGCAGCATTTAAGACAACTCCAGTAGAAACGCAAAGGCTGACAAGCAAGAAAGGAGTGAAACCCTCCCACCCACACCCAGGCAAGTGCTCGGAGCTGCTGTGCTACACCGCCAGCACAAGAATCCCTGTGCAGACAGCACAATACATTAAACCAGCGCGCTGATTAATGTCAGGACAACGGTCCTCACTGCACCAAACCGTGGCCTGCTTGCCACCACCCCATTCATATACATGAAAACCACTGAGAGGCTCTTGAAGGTACCAGGAGCAAACAAACGCGTAATACCAGCTTCCCCTCGGGGAGGGGACAGGAAAATCACACCGCAAGGGCTCCTTCCAGGCACACCGCCTAAATCCCCGCCGCGATTTAAACCCCCGAGGCCAGGGCCGGGCCCGCTCGCCGCCCCCCATCCCGCTCGCACAGACCTCCGTTTTCCCGGGAAGAACAGCGGAACTCATCGCGGATCCGAGGCCATCCACCGCCGAGGCCGGCCCTGAGGGGAGCCGAGCCCGCTGCCCCCTCAGGCCTTTCCGCCCTTTCCGTCCGCCCAGCGCGGCGCGCGCTGCCCGCCGCGGCGTGAGGGGACCGAGGAGGAGGAGGAGGAAGGAAGGAGAAAAAACGCCCCGATGGGCGCCGCGTACCTGTCGGCACTGCAGGGGGAGCTGCTGGCGCTGCAGGCGGCCCGCGGCGCCGGGCCGGTGAGGGCTCGCCAACGCCTCAGCGGCGCCAAGCCCGGGCGCAGCAAGGCCGAGGAGGAGGAGGAGGCGAAAGAAAAGGAGAAGGCTGTGGTGGCCGCCGCCATGTCGGTCGGTCCCCAGGGACGGAAGCGACGCCGTAACCAAGCGACGAGGGAGGAGCCGGGGCACAGTGGGACCGACGGGGGCGGGCGGAGCTGAGTGACGGGTGGTGCTGAGGGACGGGAACAGAAGTTCACGGGAACCAAAGACTGCAAACGAAGTCCGACCATTTGCGAGGCTCCAGCTCTACCTTCAGGCGCAACGTCCTTCTCCCGGCGACCGGCGACTCCGGCGGTCCCTGGGCTCCGGCGGTCCTTCGGCTCCGCCCCTCCTTCGGCTCCGCCCGTCCTTCGGCTCCGCCCCTCCTTCGGCTCCGCCCGTCCTTCGGCTCCGCCCGTCCTTCGGCTCCGCCCGTTCCGCCGCGACTCCGGTCCCGCTACCTGCCCCGGCTCTTGCCTCTTCGCTTGGTTACGGCGACGCTTCTCTCTCTGAGGACTGACCGACGTGGTGGCGGCGGCCACCACAACCTTCTCCTTCGCCTCCTCCTCCGCGCTGCTTCGCCGGGGCTGGGCGCCGCTGAGCCGGTGGCGATCCCTCACTCGCAGCGCCAGCAGTTCCCCTCGCAGCGCCGACAGATACGCGGCGGTGATCGGGGAGTTTTCCTCCGCGCTCCTTCCTTTTCTTCCTCCTCCTTCTCCTCCTCCTCCTCCTGCTCCTCGATCCCCTCACGCGGTGGCGGGTGGCGCGCGCCGCGCTCGGTGGGCGAAAAGGGCGCGAAAGGCCTGAGGGGGCAGCGGGCTCGGCTCCCCTCGGGGTCGCCCCAGCAGATTTCAAGCGCCTGTACTAAAAGCGTTGTCTTTGCTCTGTGTTTTCACACGTGAAAAGGTGAGGCAGCTAAACAGTTACTCAAATAAGCCTCTGACCTCCTGGATATTCTGCCAGTTTTGCCTCAAACAGCTGTATTTCTGGACCGGTGCCCGCTTCTGTTTTCTGCCTCTGTTGCCAAATACTTTGAAAGTGTTGGAATAAATAAAACTCTCTCCTACCATCTTGGTAGTGTTAGAAAGGAAGGCATTACTTTGTTTCTGGCTCAAGGTGTGTGTGAAAGACTGAAAGAATCCCAGTCCCCACGCAGGCAAAATAATAATTTTTTTCACCTGTTTTGACCTTTTAGAAAACAGATTAATGATCATTGGTTCTAAATTACATAATTCTCTTTTCTGAGTTCCTATTCTACCTTCTTTTGCCTACTAATTTCTCCTTTTCTATAACAATTAGTCCGTATCTGTAGTCTTTTTACTGTCTTTTGCCCTCTGGTGGGTTTGTTCAAGCTCAAATACTAAGCCTTTTTTCTTATTATTATTTGGTTTTTTTTTTGAAAAATGTCCTTCCAGATGTCCAAGTTCAACAATATATTTTTCCCAGGCTTTGCTCACTGAAGCATATCAAGGTCAGTTTAGCAAAAGTTCTTACTTTTGCTAAGTAGAACTTAGAAACTTATAAGAATCGTTCTTGAAAAAGTAGCTGCCTTAGAGTAATTTGAGGCTTAATACAGCTTATGATTAATTAAAACAAGTAATTAAAAGGTTTAATTGCAACCACTGAAAATTAGAAAAGCTATATCCTTTCCAACACTGCTAGTAACCGTTTTGTCCAGTTCTGCAAAAGGAAGGTGTTCCTGCAATAGTGATTTTCCAGAGGTTTTCATGTAGTATGTATGGGACATGTAAAATCCTGTTGTAATGCTCCATAAGAATGATTTCATATTCTATTCCCAAATACAGAAGGTCACAGATGTTCAGTGTGGCTGGCTAAGTATGTTGGAAGGGTGGGTCATATAAGTGATACTTTAGTAAGCACAAGATATTCTTATTTAAAAAAAAAAGGAAAAGCAGGAGGGATTTCCTTTTTGTCTCAGTTTCATTTTGTACCGTTTTCTTTCTCATTTTCTCTGCTGAAGCTAAAGAAAAGAAATTGCATGGACATATGAAGAGGAGGTTTCTGTCAGAGCAGGGTTCTGCCCCATCCCAGGCACAAGGAAAAACTGCCAGGTTTGTTTTGCATGAACACCTGACTTGCCTAAGGTTAGCAAGTTCTCTTTTGCAAAAGCCATTTCATAATTGCTCCACATTTCTGTCTTTGTTTTTTTTTATTCCCCAGGTTGGCATAAAAACAAGGTTACGGTTGCTTTGAGTCTCTGAGGAGAGTTCACTTCTAGGAGACTCTTTCATCAACGTACTGAATATCTCAATTTCCACAACCCTTTCTCATTAGGAATCAGAAGGAAACTCCCTCTCATCAGAAAATGGAGAATTAAATTGTAAATGATAACAGTGTGGGTTAACTTTACGTTTTTTTTAAATTGAAAATCTTTTAACAAGAGATTACAATGTTCTAAGTTTTATAATATGCATGATATCTTTTAATTAGTTATCTCCTCTTAATGCAAACCCACAAAATACCAACTAAATGCAAACATGGTGTTTATGTCCCTCAACTGTTGTTCCTGGCAGTGTCTGAATTTCCTTATTAACTCTCCTGTGCCTTTATTTGACCTTTTGAACCATCCCTTATGCTCTCTGAGTGGGACAGTGGGATATATGGCCTCGCAGCTGCAGGGTTATGTTGGGATCTGGCCCGGAATGGGTGACGTGTGGTTATGTAAAAGATGCAAAAAATAATCCTTCTGAGATGGAAATGGAGCAGAGCAGCCCCTTGAGAGCAGCGTGTCACTGTCCTTTTGTCTGCTCCCCTCGGCTGGGGCCTCCCCCAGGCACAGCTGTGCTTCCGTGTTCCCTGTGGGGCCCAAGGAGTCAGTCCCTGGTGTTGTGGGGCTCTCGAGGCCCTGGGTCAGTCCCCGCCATTTTGGGGCAGCCCCTGGGTCAGTCCCCGCCATTTTGGGGCAGCCCCTGGGTCAGTCCCCGCCATTTTGGGTCAGCCCCTGGGTCAGTCCCCGCCATTTTGGGGCAGCCCCTGGGTCAGTCCCCGCCATTTTGGGGCAGCCCCTGGGTCAGTCTCTGCCATTCTGGACCGGACCAGAGGCTGACTGAGGCTCACGGAGGGCAGGGCAGAGCAGTGGCCGTCCCACCTGTACAGAGCTCAACCTGTTCCCCCAAACACACTTCCCACCTGGTTGTTTTGAGCCAGTCAACCCTTCCTCTGGTGTCATGCAGAAATAAAGCTGGAAGTGCAATCCAGGAAGCAGTTTGGGATGTTATTAAACAGAGAAGCAATAGATTATAATGTCTTCCATAATTCCTGCCACTGCTGCTGCCGTGTGGGAAATCATAAAACGGACAGGTAAGAAGCTCAGCTGTCCTGAAACCCTTTTCATCTGGGGAGAGGAGCAAAGGGTTAAGTGAGGTGTGAGTTAAAGGTTATCTCAGTGTATTGGGCTGAGTGAAGAACCAACAGTTAGAGGACTAATGTGAATAATAAGGAGGTGCCAAATAGATGAGATCTTGTGCCAGTAGCATAACTGTTAATTAAGTGAAGAGAGTAGTACTTGGTGGAACTCTTTGGTAACTCTCTGCCTTTTACAGTGTTGGGGGGAGCTTTCTGTGCTATTGTGTACCTCCTGATTATTTGTGAAATAGAAGGTTTGTATGCCTAAGTTCCTGTAAGTGAAAGGGAAGAAGCAAGATGAAGAATGGGAGCAGTAATTTCCCTTTTTCAGGGGAAAAGAGTGCCCACGTGTTCACTAGTGTACATTTTCTCCTTAGAATGTGTGTGTTCTGACTGGTAGCCATTAGAGCTTCAGTTCCCCTTTGTGGTCAGAGAAGGGAAATGAAGTTCCTGCTGAGGGTGGTTCAGATCACCTGAATGAGTTGCCAGTTTTCTTTCTGCCAGGGGAAAGCTGAAAGTTGTTTTGTGGATTCCTCCCTCAAATTCAGCCGTGTGGATTTTCACGTCAGGTTGATGTCAGCAGTCCACAGTAAGAGATAATTCAATCTTGGGGAGTGAGAAGAAGGGTTTAGGTGTATCAAAATAGTGAAATAGAATTTTTTAATTTTTTTTCTCTAAGGAATACCCACATTTGGAAAAAATGTTGTTGTAGCTGGAAGATCCAAGAATGTTGGAATGCCTATCTCAATGCTGTTACATACTGATGGAGAGCACGAAAGGCCTGGAGGTAAGTCCAGGGATGTTGTTTGAATGTTTCCCTTTGTGAAATCCTGAGAGTGAAGCTGAGCAGCAGATTCAACTAAAAGAGAAAGCTTTTCACTTTTGTCAACAGCTCTAAGGGGAGCAGGGAAATAAATTTGCTCATCTGTTTCCTGGCATCTTCTCAGGTGAGTAGTTTCTGGAGTCGACTTTTTCTGGTCTTACATCACCCCGCTGTCCTCCCTTTGAGAGAGCTGCTGTTTCCCCGCTGTCAGCACTGAATGTGGAGGAGAACAGTGACAGTGTGGCCTTAAAGAGCTGCAGAGTTTGTGTGAGGGTTGTACAAATCCGTGCAGCTCTGTGCCTTCCCCTCCTGCTTATTTGGTAACCACTTTGTTTTCGTGCCCACCTGAGCACACACATACACAGAATTCCACCTACGCTTTTATCTGTCCATGTAAAATAAAGATTCCATCATTTCTGTTGTGCTGTGTCAGTTAATTGGTGTTTATGAAAATGCCCAAATGCCCAACCAAGTAACTTGTTTCAGCGTGAGTTCTGGGATATTACCCACGTTGGCCTGGGGGCTGTTTCTACGGGGCAGTTTATATCCCCCTGGAACCCGGGGGTTGTAGTGGAAATATTTTTAAGCAATTCTAATTACAGAAGCCTGCATGTGCTGCTATAATTGTGCTGTAGGAAGAGAAACAAGTATAAATTAAATGGAGTGCTGCCCTTTTGCAGCTTCATTGTGGTGTTGGAAAGTGCCACCGTGGTATGCACAGGTGAGGTAACATGAACGTTTAATCCCAGGCCCATTTAATAGGAGGGGAGTGAAATCTGTTATTAATATAATAAAACTCTAAAAGCTTTGCAGTAATCATGGAGTTGGTTTTTCCATTCAGCCTCTGTGGGAAAGTTGCTATTTGAAACTTCTCTCAGTGTTGGAGTTGTAATTACCATCGGTGCATAGTTCTGGTCTCATCCCCATTCCCATGAAAATGAGTCCCATTTTTGCCCTTTGCTGCGAATCCTGGGTGATGAGTCTTACTGGCAGCGTTCTAGTTTTCCCACCTCCTATACTGTGGTGGTACAGTGAGAAAACTAAGGAACAAGTGTACTTCTTAGACAATAAACCAGCATTAAGTGTGGGTATATGTTGTGTAGGTGGCGATAAATAGTTTTATAGTTGTAATCCGGTGGAGTTTTCATTGGTGACTCGTAGATGGGGCTGTCCTTGGAGATCTGGTTCATCTCCTGCAGGTGGTTTTCGGCTCTGCTGCTGCTGTGAACAGCAAGAACCAGCCTG